CGAAAAAAATTTAACCAACCTGCCCCAGACAAAGGACTTCTATCTAGAACATATGAAGAACTGAAAAAAATCAGAACCCTCAAATTCAAAGACCCAATCCAAAAATGGGCATCTGAGATGAATACATACTACATACTCAAGAAATACAAATGACAAATAAATACATGAAAAAATGTTTCACATCACCGCTCATTTGAGAAATGCAAATTAAAACAACACTGAGATTCTGTCTCTCCCCAGAAAGAATGAATACTATTAAGAAATCAACCAATGACAAGTGCTAGAGGGGCTATGGGAGAAAAAGAAACACTTTTCCACTGTTGGTGGGAGTGTAGACTGGTACAATCACTGTGTAAATCAGTGTGGAGAGTCCTCAAAAAACTAGGATTAGAGGTTCCCTGCGACCCAGCTGTTCCCCTTCTGGGTATCCTACCAAAAGAATTAAAAACATCATATCACAGTGATATATGCATATCCATGTTTACAGCAGCACAATTTGTAATGGCTAGATCTTGGAAACAACACAGATGCCCATCAACTGAGGAATGGATAAAAAAGTTGGGGTCTTTTTATCCAATGAAGTACTGCCACAAAGAAAGATAAACTGGAGCGATTTATAGGTAAATGGATGCAACTTGAGACCATACTTGTGAGTGAAATAAATTAGACTCGCATGTGACACAACATATTGTCACCCTAGTGTAAAAAAACTGAAAGAGTAAGTAAGGTCCAAAATGTACAGTAGATATTGTGAAAGGGAAAGAAACTGCTCAAAAGGAAAGAACAACTCGGTTGGGGGAAAGGAGAAAAGGAAGAGGGGAAAAAAAGGAAGAGAAAAGAAAAAATATTTATATGCACTCACACAAGATAACTAAGTAATTATATTACTAATTTCTATTAGTTGATTGAAAAGAATAGTTTGTGCTTATATTTGTTCAACTTTTTTTTTTTTTTGTCTTTTTCGTTTTTATTGGTACCAGGGATCGAACTCACGACTGCCTGCTTGCAAAGCAGGCGCTTATGCCGCTGAGCTAAATCCCCAGCCCCATTTGTTCAACTTTTCATGCCTATATCTTTGTAATTTGAGCAATTACTTTGAAGATAACAATATGCAATATATTAACCATTGTTAATTTCCTACTATCTTGCTTTGAAATTATGTATCTTTGTTTTTATTGCTCTTCTCTCTTTACAATAAAAACAAATAAAAAAACAAAGTATCATAATGAGTCAATGAGAGCAAGTCATGGCGGCATACCCTTGTAATATCTGCTATTTAGGAGGCTGAGGTAGGAAGGCCAGGAATTTGAGGGCAGCCTGAGGAACACAACAAGACCTTGCTAACCAAAACAAAGCAAAACAGAGCTTTCAGGAATGGAAAAAAAAAAAAAAAACATGTTAAAATTAAAAACTCAGTATATAATTAAGCAGATTAAACACAAGTGAAGACTAGTGAATTGGACCATATACCTGAAAAAAAATTATCTAGAGTACGGCACAAAGAGGGAGATAGAAAATAGGTTACAATAAAAAGGTATTGTGAATGTGTAGTTGGAATTCCAGTATTTAAAAATAGAAGACATGGATGAGTAGCATTATTCAAAGGGTTTGGTTTTTGGGTTTTTTTTTAAGAAACAGGATGTCGTTATATAGTTCAAGCTGGCGTTGAACTTACTGTGTAGCCCTGACTGGCCTCAGACTCCCAGCCATCCTCTTGCCTCCGCCTCTGAAGTGCTGAGGTTACAGGTGTGTGCCACCACACCTGGCACTTATTCAAAGTATTGATGCTTTGAAATTTCAAAAATTAATAAAAGCCAGGTGTAGTGGAGCATTCCTGTAATTCCAGCACTCAGGAGGCAAAGGCAAGAGCATCGCTGTGAGTCTGAGGCTAGCTGGGCTACAGAGCAAGACTCTGTCTCAAACAAAAACAAATAAAACAAACTAATAAAAGATTAGTAACAAGCTAATAAATTCTTAGGTTTAGGAAGCATGATAAGATCCCAAGTGATACAAATTTTTTAGAACTCTGAATCACGCTGATACATTGAAACTTTTTTTTATCTTTTTAAGACAGTTTTAGGGTGGCCTTGTACTCACTTTGTAGCTCAGGTTGTCCTCGAACTTGTGACAATTCTCCTAACTTGTGATGATTCTCCTGCCTCAGCCTCCTGAGTACAGGGATTACAGGCATGTTCCACCAAAGCTGGCCATACATTGGAGTTGTGTAGCACCAGAGGTAGAGAGAAGATCCTGAGCTAGAGGGAAAAGGTGGTGTAAATAGGAACGTAAATGGGTTCACAGCAGCAGGAATAAAGGGCAGCAGAGTGGTGAGAGAGTACAAATGTCAGTATGAAATTGTGTCTCAGAAAACAATTTTAAGAAAAACATACGGGTTTTTTGTGACATTAAGGTGTCTTCTACTCACTTCTCGTGTGATGGAAAACAACTAAAATTGCTAATTTAAAAATCAGTGACCTGACAAGATAGCAAAGAGCTTTTAGGTCAAAATGTGACAGAAAATAGGAACAAAGAAAGGTCGGGTAAGCACTGTGGGATGGAGTCTGCCTTTGCTCCGAGGATGTTTGCCACTTGAACAAAAGAAGCCTTGGCTTTAGAGATCTTGCAGGGAGAGAAGATAGTAGTTAAAGGCGTTTGACTTCTCCAGGTAGAGAGCCGAGAGGAGAGCGCCCCACACTGCAGGCTCAGGTGGGTTCCTGCCCTGACGTGGCAGTCTTTTTACTGCAAGGAGCAGGAAAAAAATGTGGAAAGCTTGTCTCTGAGAATTGTGGTGATGGGTTTATCTTTCTGAGAGTTTTTTTTCCCCTCAAATTCATTTTATTTCAAAGAGAAAAAAAACTTGAAAATACAACAATTGAAACAACAATGGTATATACATTGTGTATTGTCATCCACAAATCAGTTACCCAGAGGACAAGATATTTGCATTTTCTGGGAATTTTTAGCTAAGCTTATACTGGATAGTAATTCAGAAAAATTGAGTCTAAATTTCAGGTGTTTTTGGTGTGGTAATGTCTTCAGGTATCCTATAAGAGCAGATTTAAAACCTCTTTGGAGAAATTTATATTCATGAGAAGAACAGAAATCCCTACTGACATTTTTTTGAAGACAATGATTAGTAGTACACAGACAAAAATACTAAATGCACAAGGAAACAAGGCATCCTGAGTTAGAACCAGTAGAAATAGCTCCTCAAGACTTCATTAATTAGAACAGCCAGATGCGGTGGTGGGAGGCTGAGGCAGGAAGATCACTTGAACTCAGGAGTTTGAAGCCAGTCTTGGCAATGTTGCAAAATTCCTGTGTCAAAAAAATAAAAAGAATTATTCAGATGTGGACTTCTCCCCTGCCCTCTCACTGGGCATCAAACCAGAGATACTCTACCACTGAATTGCATCTCCAGCCCTTTTTAGCTTTTATTTTGAGCCAGGGTCTGACTAAATTACCCAGATGGGATTTTAGGTTTGAATCCTTTTGTGTCAGCCTCCCTCAGTTCTAGGATTACAGTGTATGCCACCACACCTGGCTAGCGTATGGGGTTAAGAACAAATTATACATCAGGTGTGGTGGTACATGCCTGTAATTCCAGTATTTGGGAGTTTGAGGCAGGAGGATTGCCATGAGTTCGAGGCACATGCTTGCTTCAACAGCACATATACTAAAAAGGCCAGCTTACACTATATCATGAGACCCTCTCTAACCCTAAACAAACAAAAAAGAACAAATTATATGTTTTGAAGAAAAAATCAATGCATCAGAGACAGGTGAGAAGTAATTACACAGAATGAAGCACAGAGAAAATGATGAAAACATAGAAGGTAAGTGGCTTGCACCATTAAGAATGTCTAACATGCATTTCATTGTTATTCTATAAGTAGAAAAGAGAAAATGGGCAAATTTCTTATTAGAAAAGACAGAAGCTAAAGATTTTTCAGAATGAGTGAAAAATGCCTAAGACTTAAGAAAATTAATGAGTCAAGGAAATACGAAAATTAAAAGGTAGTCAAAAGGAGTAAATTTTTTATTTTTTGAAAACTAGATCTTGCCATGTAATTTAGGCTGGCCTCAAACTCATACTGATCCTCCTGCCTCAGCCTCTCAAGTGCTAGGATTAAGGTTGTGCCACTATGCCTGGCAACAGAGAGTAGAATTACAAAGCACCAAAGACAAGGATCTTAAAATGAACCAGAGGATTAAGCCAGATTAACTACATTTGAGCAGTAGACTGATGGCTTGTATTAGTCAGCTTTGTGTTGCTGTGACTAAAATCCTGAGAAAGCAATTTAAATTGAGGGAAAATGTTGGCCCTTGGTTTCAGAGGTCTCAGTTTGTAATCTACTAGCTGCATGGATTTTGGGCCTGTGGCAGGCAGAGTGCACATGGTGGAAGCACATGGTGGAGCCAGTGGCCAGGGAAGCAAAAGACAGGAGAAGGCAGAAGGGGCCGGGTGCTGACACCTTGTCAAGGGCGCATCCCCAGTGACCCAGGACCCCACTTTCTAAAAGTTCCACACCTCTTAGTAGTGCCACAGGCTGGGCACCAAGCCTTTAACACATAGACAGTGGGGACACTTAAGATCCAAACTTTAGACAGGTACAGTGACCAGTGCTTACAACCCCAGCTACTCAGGTGGCTAATCCTGGGGGCTCAGAAGTTAAATGAGCAGGGAAACTTAGCAAGATCCTTTTCCATAATAAAAAATAGAAAGAACTGGGGATCTAACTCAGTGCTAGAGTGTTTGCGTATCTGAGGGGCCTGAGTTCAAGCCTTAATACCACCAAAATCAATCAACAATCAATCAAAACCAAAATAATGGAGGGAGAGGAAAGGGGAGGGAGAAAGGATGGAGATGCAAACCACAACATAGTTTAAATATATCAGTGGAAGCCTGAGGTCAGTGGACTATTGTCCTGATTGTCCAGTAAATAATTGCTGACTTGTAACTTTATATTATGCAAAATTATCTTTCAAGAATGAGGATATTTCATTGTTGTGAATTCCAGTGGGCCCTTCTGATCCTTTTTGTTGGACCAGCAGCTGAGAGACGAAGAGGATAGTGACTGAGAGAAAACAAGGTAGAGGAATAAAAAGAGAATGCAAATGAAATAAAAGCATTTTTAGGAAGACAAAAACTGAGTTTATCACTAGTGGTCTGCTAAGACTGAATGTATATCCCTCCAAAATTCATACTGGAATGTAATTCTCAGTGTGGGAGCATTAGGGGTTTGGCCCTTCTGGAGATGATTGGGTCAGGAGGGCTGTACTTCATGAATGTACCTGGTGGCCATATCCACAGAGGGCACAGGGGAAGCACCAGTTCCTTCTGCCCTGCTGCCACAGGAGGATATAGATAAGGCACTGCATGTGAGGAGCAAGCACTCACCAGATACCTAACCCAGTGGCATCTTGGTTTTAGACTTCTCAGCCTCTAGGATTTAAGAAATAAATTTGGGTTGTTTATAAATTTTTCATCTATGGTGTTTGTTACATATCAGGAATGGACTAAGCCTAGTTCTTTGCTAAATATTAATCTAAGGAATGGGTTTTAGGCAGAAAACCAAGATCCAGATGCAGGTATGGTGACATATACCTGTAACATCAGAAATCCAGAGGCTAAGGTAGGATTGCTATGAGTTTGAGCCACCTGGGTTACATAGTGAATTCAGGATCAGTCTGAATCACACAGTGATACCCAGCCTCAAACAAAGACAAAGAAAGAAAGAACGATCCCAAGTGGAAGAACTAAGATTCAAAAAAAATGAAAAACAGTATGTGAGCAAATAAACGTGAATGGTAGGGTCATGAGTGTAGCTTAGGGTAGAACTTTTGTAAGGCCCTAGTCTCTATTCCTAGCACTGCAAAAAAAAATAAAAATAAAAAAATAAAAAAACCCCAGGACACACCCTAAAACAAACAACGTCCCCCAAATCAGAACAAATGGAAACCAAAAACATTAATTTTATTAATATATCTATGTGGTGAAATTGATATAGAATTAACACATGAAAACAATTTGATATAAGTCAGTAAGTAGAGCCAATGGTGTTAAAGCATTTTGTGATACCTGGTATTTGAATTAACTACATTTTAATGTATGTAATTTATGAGTTTTAAGGAACCACTATAAATATTGTACTAGTAGCTGGTAGGATGGTGCACACCTGTGATTCCAGCACTCTGACAAGCTAAGATAGGAGGATTGTAAATTCAAGCGTTCCCTGGGCAATTAGTCTCAAAAACAAAAGAGAGCTGGTTATGTAGTTCGGGGTGAAGGTCTTAGATTCAAGCTCTAGTTACACAGATATACACACAAGAATGGAAGTGGTAGGACTTCCTATATATTTATGTATTTATTTATTATTTTTTGGTCTTTTTTGAGACAGGGTCTCACTGTGCAGTTCAGGTTGGCCTTGGGCTTACTTTGTAGTTTAGGCTTGTCTGAAACTTGCAGCAATCCTAAGTGCTGGGATTATAAGAGTGCGCTACCAGGCCTGGCTTCCTTTATAGAGAAAATTTGCAAAAACAGTTTTTAAAGCAAATACTGACTTAATGATGCTGCACTGAAAACCGAAAGTGAGAATAAGACTTGATGTTCACTTTTGCCACTTCTACTAAGGACTGTAGTGGAGGTTCCCACCCAGCCCAGTAAATCACAAAAAGGGCAACAAGATATTCTTCAAACAGAAGAAACACATTGTTATTCATTGAATGATATTGTTATGTAGAAAATCTAAAATGATGTGTAGATAATTTGCATCAATAATAATTAGCAGATTTCTGGATATAAAGGCCACTTTACAAAAATAGATGACCCTTTATCATCAACAAACACATTGAAGTTAAAACATAGTATATATGGGGCTGCTGGTGTATAACTGGAGGTGTATAAAAGGAGGCTGAGGCAAGGGGATCAGGGGTTCGAGACCACCCTGGGCAATTTAGCAATTCAAGGCCAGACTACATTACACAGGAAGACTGTGTCTCAGAACAAAATAATAGTGTATATAGTAGAATTACCAATACAAAGCATTTGGGATAAATGTAATAAAAGTGCAAGATGTCTTGGAGAACACTGTTCACCTGTGAGAAGAGTTAAAAAAAGAATTGATGGGGCAGGTAAGTAATCTTGGTTTTGAATTGGTAAACTCAATTTGTAACTACACAGTTTCTCCCAAAACTGATGTAGAAATTCAGTGTAATTCCAGTAAATTTTAGAGGGTCAGGTGTGTTGGCTCAGGGTATAAGTCAGGGTAAATAAATCAGGGTATAAGTTGCCTATAATATAAGCAATCTGGGAGGCTTAGGTAGGAGGATTGTTAATTTGAGCCCAGCCTAACCAATTTAATATATATATATATTTTTTTTTTCTTTTTTCTTTTCTTTTTTTAGTTTTTTGAGACTCGATGTATAGTTTAGGCTGGTCTTAGACTCATTATGTAGCTCAGCCTGACCGTGAACTTGTGGCAGTCCTTTTGCCTTAGCCTCCTGAGTGCTGGGATTAGAGTCATACACCACCACACCAGCAATTTAGTGGGACTATCTCAAAATAAAAAGGCTGCAGATGTAGCTCAGTGTGAGGCCTTAGATTTAATCGCTTCGTTTTGTATACTGGGCTCAAATTTGTGATCCTGGCTTTAGACCAGTGGAATTTCTGGATCAGGTGTGTTCATGTTTAGCAACTTCTGAGGCCATAGGAAGCAGTTAGGAACCTGACCTCAATGAACATGGCAACCTTATCTTTTCCTCCTTTGTTTACACAGAGATCTTTTTTTGAGACAGGATCTTGCTTGGTATGTATTCCAGCCTGCCCTTGAACTCGTTATTCCAGGCTAACCCCGGCATTTCTTTTGTGTCTGCCTCCCGAGTGAATTACAGGCCTGTTTAACTTTATGCCTTGCTAATCATTACCCTTTGAGAGTAAAATGTGCTGAGAGCTGTCCAAGGCCCTTTGTGTGGAGTTAGCTCAGTTAACCCTCACCAGGAGACTGTAGTGGAGATGATCATTCCTTTTCACAGGTGAGCAAATTTAGGCAGGAGAGATTACATATCTGGCCTCAGGTCACATACAAAGCCAGAATTTTTGTCACAAATACTTTAAAAAGGTCCTTTTGACCCAGACAGGTAATAGGGTATAGTTTGAATTTTAATGTTCTCTAAGCAATAGTCTCTACCATAGAAAGTTCTGGTTTAAAAGGCTCCTTCATAGCTCCAGGATCATATGGCAACATTTCTGTTTGAAATCTACTTCTTAACTGCTGGTTCTATTGCCTTGAAAAAATAAATAAACAGAACCTCAAGTTCCTTTCCCTTGAGTGTTGAGTTTATGGGTGAGTGTGTAGAAAATCTTGGTGGCACTGGGTACGGCAGTTTTGAGGGACTCTTGAGGGCACTTGTCAGGATGGGCAGAGAGGTGAGTTTGTGAACAACAATATAGGAGCCAAATTGGTAAATTTGGAATTTAATTAGCTGAGCTCAGGACTACTTGTAAACCCCCCACCTCGCCCCATTTTAGAGTCCAAACAAGTGGCACTGAACTGGAAAGTTAAGAGTTTTTAAAAGAGAGAATCACAAAAGACATGCTGTCGGAAACAATTCAGCTAGAATCTTACATTAATTTTTGGTTGGCACCTGTATCCTGCTTCTTTGTTGAGCAGATAATTTTTCTCCTGTGGGTGCAGCTCATTTTGCGTTTCTCATGGGACTTATACCCTGAGTAATTTTCTATTTTCCTGGGTCAAATACAGGGCACTAAAATGCGGGGCTCAAGATGGCGTCAGTTATGCCAAGCTACAACTGGCAGGATCATCCTGCTGTATCAGTTCTCCACACAGAAGCAGGGACCTCTCTAGTGAACAACCCACTTGTTCAAGGATGCAACTAGAGGTGACCTTTAAATCAGCCAGTTAAGGAAAGTAAAGGCCCTCATGATGCCAGGCACCTCTCTAAAGGGCAGGAGTGGCTGCCAGGTTATGAGAGACGTTTGGAAGAGCTATATATAGTGTTACCTGAGTGACTGCTCTGGAATCACTTCCTTTGACAATGAAATTACTGCCCTAGAGCCAGTACTCTTGTAGCGAATCCTTAAAGAAGGCCACTGATGCAATTGTTTTGAGTATTGTGTTTGTTAAACTGCATGGGCAGCTGACAGAGTGTAGACAGAGCTTTTTAAAAATTTAATGCAAAAATTGAGGCTGGGGGTCTATCTCAGTGGCATAGGCACCTGCCTGGCAAGCGCAGGGTCATGAGTTTGACTCCTGGTACTCCTACCCCCAAAATTAATGCAAATCAGTGGGCATGATGATGCACACTTGTAATCCCAGCACTTGGGTGGCTGAGCCAGGAGGCCAGTCAGGCTACATAATAAGTTTAAGACCAGCCTAAACTATATAATGAAATCCTGTCTCAGAAAACAAAACAAAAGAACCAAAAAAATAATTTAACACAAAGCAGTGTCCTGATTTGAGCTGGTAAGACAAATGGCCAATATTGAGTAACCTGGTTTTATTATGTATTTACTTATTTATTTATTTATTCTTTTTTATTAAAAGGAAGGAAAAATGGACAACAGAAATCATATGTGGCCACAAAGCTGAAAATATTTACTGTTAAGATTTTTATAGAAAAAATTTGTTGGCTCCTTTGATAGGCTAGAAAACAAATCTTTATTTTTTGTGATGTTGGGAATTACATTTTGGGGCTCATACATCATAGACAGTGCTTTGTCACTGAGCTCTACTTGTAGCCTCTTAAAAAACTTAAGTTAAAAGGAATGAAATCATACAAGCATGCTTCCTCTTCCTCATTGCATTCTGGTTCCTCTTCCCTTCCCTTTCCCCTTCCCCTCTCCCTTCCCTTTCCTTTCCTGTTGGGCTTGAACCCATGACTACATTGATCAGCCCATTTAAAAGAGAAAAAATTTAAAAAATCAAAGCAGAGATACAGAATAACAATGGTTAATACAGAGTAATAGCAGAGTAACAGTGGTTAATACATTGTGTATCTTTAAATTGTTGTCTTTAAATCAGATACTCAGAGTACAAGCTAAGGTTATTCATTTGTCTAAACAAT